ATTCTAATCATTTTAGGGAATTCGGAAAAGAATTTCGAAAAAATCATAACATTTGCGAACACTGGTATTAAAGTGGATTTAGATAAAGAAGTAATCATTCTTTCTCCGCTACCAGGAACCGAAAGTGAAACTCGTATTTATAAGCACTGTTGTTATGAATATTTCAAGAATTTCATCCTCCAAAGCAAAAAATATAAGCGCTACTGTATCACTGGGAACCCAGGAACCGGAAAAACTTTTATCGGACGTTTTATTATGTGTGTTTTGCTAAAGGAAGTTTTGAATTGTTGATAGATGGGGGGCGGTCAATAGAAAAGGGGGAAATCTACAAATTTTGAGTAATTAAGCTAGTTTTGTTCACATGACCATAATCAGCAGAGTGAACCAATAAAAAAATTTTTGACTAAAAAGTGGATTTCCCCCTTTTCTACTGACCACCCCCCAGATGACAACAAATTTAAGCATCCGTACCTGATTACTCGTAATAAGAAGGATGTTTTTGATGTGGAATGGGTTCAACCAGAGTATTATGCTGATGTTGCAGAAAGAGAAAAAGTATGGTGTATCATTGATGGTAAATCACCAAGGGTAAATCATGACTTTGAAACTGGAAAATTTATTATGGTTTCATCACCAAGAAATTTACACATCAAAAATTTTTGCAAACCAGTGGATATTGCAATCAAATTATATATGCAAATTTGAACAGAAAATGATTTGGAAAGATGTCGATCTTTGATCTATCCTCATGAATTTTATGAACTATGTGGTGGTATTCCAAGAATCATCTTCAAATTCATGTTAGATAAGATAGATAAAATGATTGCAGCTTCTATTAACAAAGTCAACACTAACATACACAGATTTATTGAAACACTCAACGAAGGGGATGACTACAGTCATAACCTTATACATATTTACACCAATAATGAAAAAATGAATGTTAGCAATATCAGTAGGCTTACTTTCATCAGTCACCCTTATACTTTTTGTGAGTTAAAATTCACTTCAACAATTATTGGTGATAAAGTTTTTGCAAAACTAAAAGCATATTACAAGGAGGAAACATACAAGTTTGTTTTTGCATCATCATCTGTACCATTATTAAGTTCTATACGTGGTTATATGTTTGAGATTATAGCATATAATGAACTCAGTACTGGTAAATCATTTTCAACACGCTCATTAGAACAATATAAAAATCCTCCTAAAGAGAAAAAACTGAGACTCCCTTAACTAACAATAAAAAATTGTTATACAATAGATGACATTGAAGATAATAAATATTGTAAATTAGTAGCTAAAAACTTTAAGACAATTGATGCCATCTATATTGAAAGAAAATACGATATGACATTTCAAATAACAGTAGAAAAATCACACAATATAAAACAACATAGATATGATTTATTATATGAAAAGCTAGGTGGTGAATTGGCAAATTATGAAATACGACATTATTTGTTCTTCCAAAGGACACATATAATAATTTTCAGAAACAACAATTCACAGTGAGAAGGAAAAAAATGGTCAAGCTAAAGATGTAGTGAATGTTAGATCATGGATCAAAAAAAGTGTAACACAGTATGCATTACTTTTAGATGTCAGTATCAAGAGCACAAATTAATAATTATCAGTAGATGAAATTAGTGAAAAAATCATTTTTAATATTTTATATAAATAAATATATATTGCACGTACTTTTTTATCATATCAGAAATATATTTTCTTCTAATTTGTTAAATTATTGCTATAAATAACAATGATTAAATTTAATATTTAATAAAAGAAACAAAAGAGTTTATTATAAAGAATTTTCAATATTCATTAATCAGAATTGAATTTTAAAAAAAAATCCTTATTCTTTAAAAATTTAATTCTTGAAATGTTAAAAGTATTTTATAATATTATTATTTTATAAATCTTTTATTAAAATTTAATATAAAAAGAATTTTATATCAAAAATATTTTTTTTTAAAAAAAAATAATTTTTACTTTTATATAAGATAAAAAGCAAAAAAATCTTTATTTTCAGAAATCTTAACCATTTTTTTTTTTGATACTATAAAAATTTATTTATATAATTTTATTTAGTTTATTTATTGTAAAATTTTAAATATAAAAGAATAAATTTATTTACTATATTTCTTTAAAATTAGAAAAAATAAAATAAAATTTTATTAATATTATAAAGATATAAAAAAAATGATGAGTAAAAAAAACATTTATTATATTATTTTTATAAAATAAGAATATTATATATTTTCT